ATATTATATACTATAATTTTATAATTTTGGCCAGAATTATAAAATTTGACCAGAATTATAACCTGATATTTTGGGGACCCCACCCACCCCAAAATTACGTAATTTCTGGAAGCTCCCTTACTATCAACAGTGTTTTGCTACTATAGGTTTTAAATACATATACTATCTTGAATATTTATCTGAATCAATTGATATACTTGTTCATTCTTATAATGATAGACTTTGTTCAGACAAAATATAAATGATGAACTTGACAAAACAATTTCTGATGATGATGATGATATAGCTATTAATCAATTAGTTACAACTAATCAAGGTGAAACTAATTTGTAAAAAGTAATTGATTATAAGAAAACTTTTATTATTGTGTTAAATTATTTAAATTTTTTACTACTAAATATAAATTAAATTCTTTTAGATTTTAATCAAGAATCTTGTATTTCACAAAATGCAAATGTAACTTCATTACAGTATATTCCATTTTCTTCAAATATTATATTAAATGATAATCAACAAGGTATTATTATAAATATTAGTTTATTTATTTTAAAATTTGATTGTATAATATTAATATAAAATTTAAATTTAATAGATAATATCGTATCAAGTGGTTTTAGTAATGCTGAGTAAAGTCAATTAAGAAACTTTAATAATATTGAATCAAGTCAGTCAAATAGCTTTAGTAATTCTGGGCCAAGTCAATTAAGTAATTTTGGTGATATTCGATCAAGTCAATTACACACAGAATCTCTGAGTATATTAAATGATATGAATAGTTTTTGCAAAACAAATTTAAATATATCGGAATAGATGGAACAAGACACAATCAATTTGCAGTATTTATCTGAACTATTTAATTAAAACTGCATTTATTGTATAAAGACAAATACAAAGAATCATTAAATAATAAATAAATTTAAAAAATTACTTGTAGATTAAAGCTTTAATCTGCAATAAATATAAAATATTTAAAAACTATTCTATCGCTTATAAAAAAATTGTTGATATTCTTGATAAACAATTAAAACAAATTCTTTTATTTACAAATTTAGCTTAAATTTATGAATTAAAATAAATATTTAAACTCAATAGTAGTTTATAATTATTAAATTTCTAAACATATATATAAATATTTAAAGCGAAGTTATAATTGTTCTATATAAGTTTGCTTAAAATTATATTTCATACATATTATATCTGTGGTTAAATTTTATTGGTTTAGATCACATGCAAACCTTAATTTGATTAACTAATAACTGGATTTTTAACTATGCTCTTGTGTTTTGGGATGGCAAATGTTTTAAAGCATGATCTTAAAAATCACAATTATATATTATGATGTAATCATCATGATTATGAAATTATACCGATACAATTCGATTTATCATTAAATAATATCTATTGATTATTAATGCTAATGAAATAAATAAAATATTATGAACATCTATTTCATGTAAGACCTATTTGAAAGAAGCTCATTTAAACCTTACAAATAGTCGAATGATACCTCGTCAAATGTGTATTGATAGAGAAGAAGACTTTGTTAATTTAATAGATCAGTTAAAGGGACATTTAACAAAAATATATTTATTAAAAATTCAAAACACTAGTTCTATGATAGACAAATTATTTGATTAAAAATATATATTATAATTTAACATCGATAATAAGCCAATAAAAAATTTTATCATTCAGGTTCTATGTAACAACCGACACTTTTTTTGTTTACTTATTCGGGCATTTTACTATTAAAATCATATGATTTTAATAGTAAATTGCCCGGATAAGTAAATTTTGCAATTTATATTTATGTTTTAACGTTTAAAGATTTTATAATTTACTGCATTTATTTAAATATTACAAATATATGAATTTATATAAATTCACTAGCAGAGAAAATCAATTAATTATTAAATGAAAGATTCAAAGTAATGTTGAGTGTTTTGTCACTTTCGGGAAGTTGAATTATGATATTATTCGTAGCTTTCTTCAATGGCTTTTTCGGGCGATGTTTGTATAGTTTAATTTTTTCAGAATTATTCATAGGAATTTTGAATGGTTTGAAAACTTTGGAATTTAAATTGTCAATGTATGGAACAGTACGTTTCTTCTTTTGCAGCATAACTTTTTTCATTTTGTGATCATTATTTTCTTGTAAAAAAAAAAAAAATTGTTATTATGTAAACTATTTATTTAAAATAAAATACTTTAAGTACCTTTTTGAATAGAATTTTGTGAATTTAATACTTCAGTTAAATCTTGAGAATCTTGTAATACTTCAATTGTTGAATCATAAGGATCTTCCATATCAGAATTTTGTGAATTTGATACATCGATATTTAAATTTGAAGCTAAAATAAATAAATTATTAGTATATTTTATATGCATATATATTTAAAATAGTTATTTAATATGTGTAACTTACATTCTAGTTGATTATCAAACTCATTTAAATCTTGTTCTTGTGATGTAAATAGAATTAATAATGCCATGGATGCAAGTCTTTGATCATATGATGGATCACTATATGCATGAATTCCTTCTTGAGATCTATGACCGGAAAACAACATTGCCTCATCTTCAGGAACATTAGATTATTTAAGTATTGTGATTGCTGTATGTCTTGCACTATGATTAGTAATTTTTCGTCCATCAGCAAGATCAATACCAGTATTAACTGCAATTTCGTTTAACATTTCTTTAAGTTTTTTTCTCCCATTTTGGATGGCTTGTACATCAATCCCTTTTTTAATTCTATTATAATACGTATAACAATAATAAAAGTAAATAAATACCATATGTTAGTACGTACATACATACATAATTATTAAATTATATACCTGATTGTTTTCTAATGCATTCTAAAAATAGTGTATCAGTTGGTTTACATTCAGAAGGACGTTTTGATAAATAAAGTAATATGTCTTTTATAGGTGTAAATTGATTTGTAAGATTGTCTGCTGGAATTGGAATAGATCGAGTGTTGGTACGACCATATCGTTGTTAGTAGAATACACCACCTTGATTGTTCTTTTCCTTCCGCAATTGCAATTGCAATCCACCATCAACTCGCTTTTCAATATCCCGAAATTATAATTTATATGTGTCACCTCCTCGTAACCCACATAATAATGAAAGCCAAAAAAAAACTCGGCGAAGTAGACCTTCATTATTATTTATTGATAAATACTCATGATTCAAGCAAGAAATTATTTCATCAGGTGTTAGTGAATCACTTTTCTCTGTATCCCCATAACCTTCATCCTGTAACAATTTCATTTTGCCATCTAATACTTGAATTGCTCTTGAAAATGTATATTTATCCCAAATGTTAACATTACCCAGAATAGAAGAATTTTCATGCAAGTAACGTGCCAATGCAGCATAACAGTTGTGAATAGATTCAACTTTAAATGGTTTGCCATTAATTTTTGTAAGCCATGTGATAAACAAACTTAAAAATTCATCGAGTTCTTCTTTGTTGTCAATTTGATTAATTG